CAGCTGTCCTGCGTCTGACCTCAAAGTGCACAAGCTTCAAACTTCAGCGTTGGCTGCGATTTTGACGCTGAAATCACGTTCGGTGTGAACGCACCATTACACTTGCTGCTGCAAAGCTCCGCCCATTTACACAAAGCTCCTCCCTGTAGCTCAGTCTGCAGCCGAGCTCCTGCCCCACAGAGCACCCCTCTCTGAAACATTGTTGTGAAGATGTGCTGAAGTGGGAGGGTCTGAAACGGTACGGGGTTCTTAAAGTAACAGAGACCAATTTCAAGGTGTTCAGATAGACTATGATGCAAAATCTAATTTATTTCTGATAAATAAAAATTAACTATGTGCTTTCCTGTAAGGATAGTAGGTCTTTAGGGACAGTCTGTGTACTCTAAATAATATTCAAAACATTTTCCACATCTGTTTGAGAGGTTAATTCTAACATTTGAGGTCTTCAACATTCTCCAGCTGATTGTTGGCCAATAATAAATTTAATGTTCTTTAATTAAATGTGACTTAATTCATCTGCTCTGCCTCAGTCTCTTTGTTTGGTCTAGTTCTGTATCTGAAGGACTCATGTTTCAGCCCAAGGCCCAGCAGATTCTCTTCTCTTCCTCGTCTCTGTCCTTCAAATATTTGGCTTTATCCTGTTTGAACTAAAATGATATCAGGGTTTATTTTCTATTCCCATCAGGCCGTGCGTTACATCCAGCTGCTCCCGCCTGAAAAACGTCCCGTCGCTGGTACAGAGGGAGCCGTCTACCGTCGGCAGCAGATGGCTCGTCAGCTGCCCGAACACGACCAGGACCCGTCCAAGTGCCACGAGCTGAGTCCAGCTGAGGTCAAGCAAATGCAGCAGTATGTTCGTAAATACAAGGACGAGGCGCTGGGGGTGGGAGACGTCCTGCTGCCTGAGGAGGTGGCTCAGGTGCAGGCTGGGGCTGGTCCTGGGGCAGGAGCTCAGGCTGGAGTTGCAGCTGGTTCTGCCCCGGGTCTTGCTGGTCCTGGTGTTAGAGCCAGTGTCGGTAATGGATCTGGATCTGGAGGTGGAGCTGGAACAGGACCACATGCAGGATCTGGGACTGGACAGTCTGCTGGCTTTGGGCCAGCTGGAGGAGCCATGGGGACTGCTGCTGCTGCTGGAGCCATCAGTTCTGGACTTCCACAGAAGAACTTTGTAAGAAATATAGTTTTTCTTTCTGTCTTTTCTCACGGTGAACTTATGATCATAAAAGTATTGTTTGTATTTTTGGTTTTACAGTCAAAATGTAGCTAAAAATCTAAATATTTTAACTTCAGTTACAGTGTTAACAAATGTTCCTGGTTAGATGCTGCTTATTAAATGGTTCAGACATGTTTGTATTTTTCACTTTGCTTAAATTAAACACTAAAATTTACTTTTAAAACAAAATAAACAAATATTTTTCACACAAACTAATTTTTATATAAACATTCTTTAAAAAATCACAAGTCACTGAAATAAATTGAAATGGAAAATAAACCTCCGTAAGAGGAAAAATAAGATAAGCAAATAAAAATCAGTCATTGCTTTGAACGGTGGTTTTATATATTAAAAACTTTACAATGAATCTGGAGTTGAGACAAAGGACAGTAACCCGAGAACTAATCTGTCCACAGGGACATGTTGGACTCACATGTGTCCTGTAACTAGTCTGGTGTTTAAAGGCTGACAGGTAGTCACAGGGCTGTTTGGTGGCATGGTGTGTAACACGCTGAACATGGAGCACAGGAAGAGTGTCTCTGCTGGGGACAAAGAGTGTCTCTGCTGGGGACAAAGAGTGTCTCTGCTGGGGACAAAGAGTGTCTCTGCTGAGGACAAAGAGTGTCTCTGCTGAGGACAAAGAGTGTCTCTGCTGAGGACAAAGAGTGTCTCTGCTGAGGACAAAGAGTGTCTCTGATGTGGACAAAGAGTGTCTCTGCTGTGGACAAAGAGTGTCTCTGCTGTGGACAAAGAGTGTCTCTGCTGTGGACAAAGAGTGTCTCTGCTGTGGACAAAGCTTGTCTCTGCTGGGGACAAAGCTTGTCTCTGCTGAGGACAAAGAGTGTCTCTGCTGGGGACAAAGCTTGTCTCTGCTGAGGACAAAGAGTGTCTCTGCTGAGGACAAAGAGTGTCTCTGCTGGGGACAAAGCTTGTCTCTGCTGAGGACAAAGCTTGTCTCTGCTGGGGACAAAGCTCGTCTCAGGAGATTAAAAAGACATTGGCTGACATCATGTTGAAGGTAAAGACCATCAGATCACCTCCAAGTAGTTTGTTGTTCCCGAGTCTACAGCTGCTCAGATTATTCAGAACGTTCATAGAACTGGAGACGACCTCCATGGACATGTCCACAGTAGGACAACTGAAGACAAACTAAAAAGATAAATAATACAACAGTAACCATTCTGATGAGAAATGTGCTTCTCACCGTCAGAAAACTTGGTCTCAATCGCAGGTCATAGTGCTCTAACAGGATAATGATCTATAAGGGTCAGAACATCTGTGAATGGGTCGGGTTGTGGACAGGTGGGACAGAACACCTGTGGACAGGTGGGACAGAACACCTGTGGACAGGTGGGACAGAACACCTGTGGACAGATGCAAAAGTCTCCTGGTTGCAGCGATTGTCTCAGTTGGTTGTGCAACTAAATTTGAATTTATGGGACCATCTTTTTTTTGTCAAGGCCAGATTCAGTTGTTTTTTTGTTTATTTTTTGAACCAAAATGTATAAGCAGTGACTGATTTTATTTTATGTGTTTAGTTTTTATGACAGTTCCTGCACAGTAGACAAGCACAGGAACTGATAAATGGCCCAACTCTTAGGTTTGGGAAAGCTCTCATCGCCCTGACAAGAAAAAAAAACTCTTAAGTTACTGGTTGGAGGCCTAACTGGGCACAATCTGCTCAACCACCACAAAATGGTGATGGGACTCCATGACAATGGTCTGTGTGATGCCTGTGGCATTGAATCAGAGACCTCTTTGCACTATTTAGACCACTGCTTGGCTCTGAGTGGTCAAAGGACAAGAATTCTTGGGGACCTCTTTATGGATCCTGAGAAGCTCAGAACACTGAGTGTTTCTAACCTCGTGTCCTTCATCCGAGGGACGAGAAGGTTTGAATAAAGACCAGTGTCTTTTTGGGGAGAGCAATGGGTCCACTTAGGAGACCTCGCTCACATGGGTTTTTACCCATCCCTGTTCACCAGTACCAAACAACGGCAGTTTAGTGTCGGACAGGAACTGAACTGATCTGATCTTTGGACAATTCTGATGGTGAGGGGATTAATCTGATATGTCAGCTTTTAGATGACGTATCAGATTAATCAACAAATACATTCAGATAAGTTATATTTAATACAAACTGACAATCATAGGGTTTCTTTAATTTTACCCAGTGGTGCTTCACACAAAATGCTGGTTGTGTTATTCTTCAACTCAACAGCAGGTGGAACCAGAGACCAACTCTGAGTCAAACTATGGATGATAAAATGTATCAGACCTCAGACTGAGAGTGGAGTTAGATTGTTAATGTGTAAATAATTAATTACTCAAGTTTCACAGATCTGTCTATGATATAAGGAGGGTGGGGGACAACAGAATGAACTTGCACTAATTTCAGTGTCACTTTCTACTGTTTTAAAACCAGTGTTGCCAACTCCTGAGCAAGAAAAGTCCCTATTGGCTGTCCTAAAAGTCACTAGATGACATCATTTAATTTTCATAGTTGGATGTTTGCCAATAATTGATCTGAGCTGTAAGAGAGATGATGAAGAGAAAAAAGTGAATAAAAACACTAAATATGTTTAGAACTGCAATTAAACTTAATTAAATAAAATAATTTTATGACTTTAATGCTTAGATCCACATAAATTAAATTTGTGGGAATCTTAAATTTAATCTGCAGACAGTTCGATGTCAGGAGACACAGGGAGGAAGAGGTGAAGAAGTGACTGAGTCAAACACAGCTGGGTCCAGAGATTTACTTTAGAGACAGTATCAGAGAAAAAAAACATTACATTAAATATTACATCCCGCTTTGTAAACCAGACAGAAGCAGTGACAGCTTTGCGCGTATGTGATTCATTTGCAGTGGTCTCCTCTCAGCTGACTTGCAGAGACTTCAGTGACTCTGATGGCTTAGGAAGGGGGAGGGGCTCACTGCACTGCTTGCGGAGGAGCGGAGGAGGAAAGGAAAAAAGTGCTTGGAAAATGCTGTCGCCAAAGCTCCTAAAAGTCTCCAAAAACACCAGGAGAAGTCACTAGATTTATCGCTAGTCGCTTTTTGGAAAAAAAAATGTCGACAGAGGGGTCTACAAAGTCGCTAGATCTAGTGACAAAGTCGCTAAGTTGGCAACAGTGCTTAAAACTTTTACTGCATAATAAACTAAGCGCATTTTTTTTTATGTTTGTTCAAATAAGGTTTTCAGAATTCTTTACTGTTTTAATAAACTAACCTAAAACGTTTATGAAAGTAAATAAAAATCTGATGCATGCTGAAGTATTTCCTGGAATCCATATAAACCTTTATTTATTTTTTCTCCTTCAAGTCGTGCCATCACTGCAAGCAGCCCATGAAGATGGGTGAGCCTGCAGTTTACGCTGAGCGAGCGGGCTACGACAAGCTGTGGCACCCAGCCTGCTTTGTGTGCTGCACGTGCAACGAGCTGCTGGTGGACATGATCTACTTCTTCAAAAAGGGCAGGATGTACTGCGGCCGTCACTACGGGGACAGCGAGAAGCCTCGGTGCGGAGGCTGTGACGAGGTGACGGTTCTGACTTTCAGGGTTTGGCTCAGGAAAGCGATGACGTCGCTGGGAAGCAGGTGTCATTCTGGTGTCTCTGTCCACAGTTGATCTTCAGTAACGAGTACACGCAAGCCGAGGGTCAGAACTGGCACCTGAAGCACTTCTGTTGCTTCGACTGTGACTGCGTCCTGGCTGGAGAGACGTACGTCATGGAGAACGACAAGCCTGTCTGCAAACCCTGCTACATGCAGAACTACGCCGTGGTGAGTCTGCTTCTCTGGCTGCGAGGTGAGGTGGAGCTGCTGTAGGTGAGATGTCCTCAGAGAGGGGGAGGAGCTACAGGTTCCTCTGACGGAGCAGGTCCTGGAGGGTCCCTATCCTCCATGTTTTAGAGGATCCTCTGCTCCAACACACCTGGTTTAAATGAACCAGTGATTAACAGGCTCTGCAGAACGTGAAGAGGTTATTCAGTCTCTAAGTAGTTAGGCCTACCACCAAGCAAGAGACATCATGAAGACCAAGGACTGCTTCACACGAGTCAGACAACGCTGGGGAGGATATCGGATGAGGACTGGTTCCATTAAATCCAGTTTTAGAACAGAAACAGAGGATCTGTATGGGATAAATCTTGTGCCAGCAGGAATTGAATTTGAATTGCTCAGATTGAATCTGAATGTGCATAATTTGAAATTGAATGCATTAGTTTGAAAATAAATTTCACTAAATTTAAACTGAATTTAATGATTTGAAACTGAATTTAAAGGTTTGAATTTGAATTAATTTTCTTTTAAACTGTATTTTGGTTTGTTAAAAATTCAGTTTGACTACTTTCGCTTTAAGTTCTAAAATTCATATTTTTGTGTCACATCCTGGTCCTTAAGAAAGCCAGCCAGAGTAATCAAACACAGATCCACAGATTTATGTTTCACTTTGGTGAAGCTTTCCTTCTGTTTGTAACAGAGTTGATACAATCCACTGTAAAAGTGACAAAACGAAGTCATTTTACTGCAGTGAATAATTTTATCTATATGTAGAAAATGTTACATTTACATCACATCATGGATCACATATTGATCAGATGCTGCTGCTGACTGATCCATGATATGATGTAAATGTAGCATTTTCTACATACAGGTAAAATTAATCACTGAAATAAAATAACTTTATCTGTTTTTTTTTTTTTTTTCACTTTTACAGTGGATTGCATCAACTTTGTTACATCACAGAAGGGAAGCTTCACCAAAGTGAAACATAAATCTGTGGATCTGTGTTTGATTACTCTGCCTGGATTTCTCAAGGACCAGGATGTGACACAAAAATCTGAATTTTAGAACTGAAATTGAATTTTAGAACTGAAAGTGAAAGTAGTCAAACTGAATTTTTAATAAACCAAAATACAGTTTCAAAGCAAATTAATTCAAATTCAAAACTTTAAATTCAGTTTCAATTTAGTGGAATTAATTTTCAAACCAATGCATTCATTTTCAAATTATGCACATTCAGATTCAATCTGAGCAATTCAAATTCAATTCCTGCTGGCACAAGATTTATCCCATAGATCTAACAGCCTGAACACGGAGGGTAAAAGTCTGACCTGGAGGAATTTTATTTGACTTTTGCAAATGTGAAAATAAATATCTTTTATGTATGACCCAAACACTGGAAGATCCATTAGCTTTTACAATCTGTATTTAAATGTGTAAATGATTAAAACTTGATAATTAAGCTCAAATTCAGTAGAGAACAAGCTGAACATGGTGGGTGCTGGAGGAGTGCAGAGAACTGAAGTCAGTTTAGGGTCTGTCTGATGCAGGTCTAACTGAAACAAGAGCTGGTGCAGGGTGGGTTAGAGGCTTCATGTATCGACGATGCATACGCAAATAAAGCTGTGTGCGCCAGGTTACACAGACACACACACACACACACACACACACGTCAGGATATATATGTGTGTGTTTTTATGGATCACAACGATTAAAAACCAATCAGGTATTTTACTGTGGATCCTGAGCGGCACCAGCTCCATGGTTCAGAGTTATAAGTCCCACACCGCGGTGAAAACAGGCTCTTCAGCTTGTTTCTTCATCAACTATTTAATAAATAAAGCTCTAAATTTTACTGAGCCACTGAGGTCCTCTGTGTTTACAGTAATTATGTTAATAAACAAAGGTTGGTCAGCCTCAGAAATGTGACAGTGACAGACTGGCACAGCAGTTCAGCTGATCCAATAACAGCTTCACACAAACACGTTTGTTCTTCTATCCTTATTAGGACCATTCATTAACTTCCATTTGTTTCCAGTCGCTTCTATAGCCTAAACTTGACCCTTTACCCTAAACTAAACTCAATTCACACCTTGGTTCTAAGTCTAACCTCAGACCCAGAAAATGGAGTTCCACCATATTAGTACTGGTCTTTGGTCCCCATAAGGATCACTGGTCTTGACAAGGGAGATGTGTATACCAGAAACAGTCCTAAAAATGTAACAAATACGTGTGTGCACACACACACACACACACACACACGGTCTCTCGTCTTATGTGCATGTGTTGAAAATGCATTTTTATACCTCACTACTTATTTAGGAGCATCTGTGACTCACTGCGTTTAATTCATCATTTTCCTGCATCTACAAATCTTTTCTGATCACACAAGGAGAATGACACACACTGGACAGAATTTGCATCTGTTTTACACAGGGGAGGTTCTAGGGGCGGGGCCACAGGGGCACTGGCCCCAGCTGAAATCTGATTGGCCCCCTGAAGTGCCCCTGTCCTGTCACTCACCTGTCCTTTACCTGGGAGTGATGATGGTGGATGCAGTTCCATGGTCAAACACTAGTTGCGCTAATGAGTCAAATATAAAGTCCAGAATGAATCAAGCTCACAGAATTCTTCTCCTCTTAAGAAAATTTGAATAATCCTGCAAAAAAAGTCTTTCAACTGACAAATGATGGATGGATTTTCTCACATGTTGTGTGTTTGAGATTATTTTATCTATCTGGTGAGGAGAATTTACTGTGCAAGCTTTTTTTTGGTACCAATTTACAAGAAGGGTCCCCTTACAGATGGCTTTTAAATAGCTTATAGATAGGTTACTAATTCATCTATAAACACTTTATAAATCATTAATAAATGTTTATTATGCAATGATTAAGGACGAGAATGACAAAACTGTCTAGTTTCTTACTAAATAATGAGACAAATCTGTTGACATACATATTACATCTAAAGGTACTTATTAAATGTTTCACACTAGGTTACTACATTGTAAGTACAATAACAATAAGAAACACATATTTTAGTATATTAATATTGTGCTGTATTACTGCATTATAAATATTCACAACTTTCAAAGGGAGACTTATCGTAAAGTGTAATACAGTACACTTTTTATTTTAAGACAAATAAACATTTATAAACGCCAAAAGTTAGTTTGTAATGGGAAAAATCACCATTTTTAAAACTTTGTGCTGATAATCAATATTTTAAATTGATCAAACATGTAACTACTGTCAACAATGATGATGTATCAAAAAAACCCATCATGTTAACACACCAAATAATCCCACCCCATCCAATATACTCTACAGTTTTACACTTTACAATAAGGATCCCTTTAATAATTGTGTATACTTATAATGCAGTAATGCAGTTCAATATTATATGTTAAAATATGCATTTCCTAATCATTATTGTGCTTACAAGGTAGTAAACTAATCTGAAATGTTTAATACACAAACAGATTTGGTTCAGTATTTGGAAAGAAACCAGACAGTTTAGTCTCTTTTTTTTTTTACCTTAATTAATGCATAATAAACACTTATTAATAATTTATGAAGTGTTTACAGATGAATTAATAGCCTATCTATAAACTCTTTAAAAGCCATCTATAAGCGGAGACTTATTGTAAAGTGGTACCCTTTTTAAAAACCTTACATTACAAGTGTTTGACCATGTATGACTGGTTAAATGTAAACACCTTACCAAAACTGTTGATTTGTGTGAAAGGATGTTGAACAAAGACTTGGCCCCTCTATGAATATTGTGGCCCCTTAATGGCCCCTTGCTCAGAAAAATCCTAGATCCACCACTGGTTTTACATATAAATGGAGTTGTGTCGGGGGGAGGAGACCCACCTGCACTAAGTCCCGCCTTTTGTTGTGATGTATGAACAAAAAGAGTGCATAAACATGCATCTGCAGGTTTGATACATCTGAATATTTCTGTGCGTACGTACTTTTCCACTTTGGTCTGACTTTTAATATGAAAGCTGTGACTCAGATACATGAGGCCCCAGCACTGTTCCTTGCTTCTGATTCTGTTTGTGGTCTTCATAGTCAGAATCTTCAGATGGAGTCATGGAGAGGAGGATGTCTGGTTTGGGAACATCTCTGCTTGATGCAGAAGGTGGTTCTGTTGGGTTTTTTAAGTCATGATACAATGAAGCACTTTGTAGCTGGAAGGAAAGTCAGCTCTAAACCTGAGACCACAGATTTAACTGAGAAAGGCTTGAATGTTCCTCTAGTTTGGAAGTGAATCTTTATCTTGACGTTATTTTTAAGTGATGGAGGATGACAGCTCAGAAATGAAAGGAGTTTGGTTAAATATGATTGGTCAGATTAACATGTGGGTGGAGTTTGGTTAAAGAATCAGATTGCTAATTTTATGAATAATTATTTTAGTCGTACCTTGAGACAGGAAGGTACTCTGTTATTTTAAACCAGGGGTGCCCAACCTTTTCTGAACCAAGAGCTACTTTTGAAGTTGGCAGTTTGCCGAGAACTACTCGTCCAGTCTCAGTATCAAAAAACATATCTTTCATCTCCCTAGTCCTCATTTCTTTAAAGTAAATAAAACAGAAAGTAATGTGTTGCTAGTTTTATTTAATTAAAAATATTGTCAAACAAAACTATCTACTTAACCGTATATTTATCTACAAAAAAAGAAAAGATAAAATCCTTAACTCCTGACAGAGAAACAGAAAAGTGATGCTCGAACAAAAAGGATAAAAAAATTTTACCTCCTTCAATTAGTACTCCCTGTAACGTGCGAGCTATGAGGGCTGGAAACCTGTCCAGTGTGAGAACCACAGAGTCAAATAACTTTGGAGCACGGGAAGTCTCCAATTATTCAAATAACTCTCCTCTCTTCTCTCATACAGGGGAGGAAAAACAAAACAAAAAACTAAAGTCAAAGCACACAATATAAAACTCTCTTGTTTATACTATTACAAAAGTGACTTAGAACTATTTCAAACCTCAATCTGCAGCATGCAGGATGGTGTCATCTGCAGGTGTTGAAGAGCTCAGTCCCTCACTGGTCCAGACTGCTGGCTCCAGACCATTCAAAGAGTTCCACCTGGTTCACCAGATATAAACAAGACACACACACAAACACACAAACACAAACGCTAGGTACGGAAAACAAGGGCACACCCAAATTGCAAAACAAATAAATAACACAAAGGTGCCAGTCAGTGTATAAGACACTAGTCTGGTCTAAAATGTAATAAAAAAAACAACATACAGACACATTGTGACAAGTCTAGGAGGAGACAACTTTTTATGCAAGCTATATAAAAATAATGTATAAATAAATAATGTAAAAAATGTATCTCTAACTTAGTGGGACTTCTGACACTGAGAGGAGGCCAGGGTCTCATAGGCGGGCAGTATGAGGTGGTTGAAGTGTTAGCAGGTCTCCAGATGATCACCAGTCTTTGTGGATCTGTTGTGGACTTGATGATTTTCATGTGAGAGAAAGCAGTCTCCAGAACTCTCCATCCATGCGACTTGTTGCTCTGGATTTGATCCCTGTCACTTTGCAAATTCAAAACCTAATTTTCAACCCAGAGCAGTCCAGACTGAAACATGGACACAAATTTGGACACATCCATCCATCATGGTGGACAACTGCACGTCTTTATAACAGCCACAATCTCACTTTTATTTTTAAAATCACGGAAAAGCACGTCTGCAGCATCAAACGCTTCTTTCATAACTTGGCCATCGCTGAAAGACGTGTGAGGCAGGTACGGGGCTGCATTAGCATAGCAGCCTTACCTTAGGAGGGGAAATCCGCCTCGAAGCGTCTGTGCATTCTTTTGAAAGAAATGCTGTTCCACGTTATCCTTTTTGGACAAGCCAAGGCACTCGAATTACATACGAGTCCTCTTCCCACTCCAGGTGAAAATAATAAGTTTTTATTTGTTTGTTAGCTGTCTTTCATTCATCATTTTTTTCTGCCTCGTCATGACCCTAATCTCACATGACCATGTTCGGAGCGCTGTTTCACAGCACCCAAAACTAGCGAGACTGGAGCGTGTTCAAGAATGCAATGTTAAACAAACGTTGACAAGGATGCATTCAAAAGAATGCAATGTTCAACAAACATTGCAAAGAGTGCGTTGAAGACTGCGATGTTAAACAAATATTGCAAAGAGTGCATTTAAGGCTGCAATGTAAAACAATGTTGCGTTCTACAAGGTCCGTGATCCATTGCTCTGTGAGCTACTGCTAACCAGCTAAAGATCTACCGGTAGATCCCGATCTACTGGTTGGCCTGGCCTGTTTTAAACTATAAGTAGTCAATAAATTATATTTACAAGTTAACAATAATTTTTTATTACTATTATTTTATCTTGTATCTTCCACTCAAGTCCAATCAAGCAATCATGGCCGACCCAAACTACACCCACCCATCAAACTCCCACTTATTGACCACAGAGACCCACTTCTTGTTACCTCCACAACCCGATCACAGATGATGAATGGATTAAAGGAAAACTAGTTGTAGTGTTGATCTGATGCGAACATCAGTCAAGCAGCCAGTGATGTCAGTGAACTGTTCCTTTCTTATCTTTACGTATCTTGTTGTTGATAAATCTGTTTTATTTTACGATTTGAAGATTTAAATAGGATATACAGACAAATGTGAAATCATTCAAGCAGAATGATGAGTACTTGATTTAATGTTGTGTTTTTCTTCCTTCCAGAAATGTTCTTCCTGTCAGAACGCCGTGGAGCCCGAGGCCCAGAGAGTTTCCTACGGCGAGTTCCACTGGCACGCCGAGCCGGACTGCTTCAAGTGCTCCGGCTGTACCAAGTGCCTGACGGGTCAGAGGTTCATGGCTGTCAACAACTTCCTCTTCTGCTCTGTGGAGTGCAAGAAGAAAGTCATGGCTTAGAGACTCGAACCAGGACTGGATCAGCTGAAGATCACCCCAGAGCAGAGAAAACAACCACTGAGCAGAAATCTGATCTGAAGTATCTGATACTGCTAACATACTGTAGAAACGTCTGATTACAGAAAAACACAAAACTAATCATTTGTTTCAGATATGGTGGAAGCTTTTCTTTCACTGTTAGACATGTTCTACCTTCACTTCACTAACTCTTTAAATCTGTGAACTTCATTCTTTTAATCTGCAAATCAATCATGTGAGAAGTATTATGTCAGGGCTCAGTTTAGATGGTTAGCTTTTATAATAAAATGTCACTTTGACTTTATAAAATGAAAAACCTGGCACCTTAAACATTAAAAACACCCGTTTTATCAAATAACCCAATAAACTGTCTTCTGTGAAAATCTCATTAGTTGAGTTCAGGTAGTTTCAATCAGTGAAGATGTTATTCTTATAATAAATAAATGATGTCCTGAAATCTTTGATCTGATGAACTAATCTGAACATTTTTATATCTGTCTGTCACCAAAGTCAGAATTGACAGATCTGACCTGAACTACTGGAGGATTTATTTTTGTGATCTAGCAGTCTGCTGGGAGCCGTGAGGGGCTGGGCACCAATCAGGGTTTGTGTTTTCACTCACAAAGTGGAAACTTTTTCACAATTCAAGGAAGTTTCATCTCTCAGGAGGTCATTGTCTTAAATGGCAATCATCTCAGAGGAACACAGTTGTTTCCTGTCTCTCAGCCTGATTTACAGTTCTGATGTGAACAAACTGCTCCACCTGCTTCAGGATCAATCAACTCTCCCCTCACCCTCCTCTAACCTGGACTTTTCTCATTTTACAGATTTCTTTCATTTTTACATTCATAAACAATATTTGTTTCCTATTAAACTTTAGAAATTCAAAGGGTTTTTTTTGTTCAGTCTGTGAGGCCATAAATTCAAATACTAAGAGGGGAGGGAATACTTTTGCATCCAGCTGCAGGGTGGACCAGGCCAGCAGTCGTTTTGCAGGTCTGTTGATATTTGCATGTGATTTGTTCTTGTGCTGCAGTTTAATGGGACCATTTTCATTCTGACTCAACCAGATTTTTGCATTATGTTAATCTGAGTAAAAGCCAGTTTCAACAGGTTTTATACCATCCTGCCACAACATAGAACTGATATTTACCTGCAGGGTCTTTTATAAACTATCAATTTGTTGCCTAAAGGAAATTAATTCCATGAGAAAAAGGGTGTTCGCCAACTGAAACCTGGAGAATCAAACTCAGTCTGAATCCAGTCAGAATGTGGTAACAGTGAGTCATATACAGTGGGGTGCGAAAATTTGGGCAGCCTTGTTAATTTTCCTGATTTACCTTTATAAATCATTGATTGTTTGGATAAAAAAATCAGTTAAATATATCATAGAGGACAAACACAGTGATATTTGAGAAGTGAAATGAAGTTTCTATGATTTACAGAAACTGTGCAATAATTGGTTAAACAAAATTAGGCAGGTGCACAAATTTGGGCACCATTTTAATTTTATTGATTTCAAAACCTTTAGAACTAATTATTGGAACTTTAAATTTGGTTTGGTAAGTTCAGTGACCCTTGACCTCCATACACAGGTGACTCCAATGAGAAAGTGGATTTAAGGGGGCAATTGTAAGTTTTTCTCCTCTTTGCATCTTCTCTGAAGAGTGGCAGCATGGGAGTCTCAAAACAACTTTCAAATGAGCTGAAAACAAAGATTGTTCACCGTCATGGTTTAGAGGAAGGATACAGAAAGCTATCTGAGAGATTTCAGCTTTCAGTCTCCACTGTGAGAAACATTGTGAGAAAATGTAGGACCACAGGCACAGTTCAAGTGTAGGCTCGAAGTGGCAGACAAAGACAAATGCCCAAAAAGAGAAGTGAAGGATGTTGAGAACAGTCAGAGTCAACACACAGACCAGCACCAAAG